CGTCCTGATGAAGAGGAGCCTTTTTTTTTTTTTTTTCAAGCTTATATGCCTTAAGAGGAAGCAAAGCCGGACTGAGATCCCACACAGCTCACCTCCTCTCGTTGGATCCATCTAGCTGCACAGTAGCAGTTTATTTTGCATTGTCTTAAACGATAATGGCGTAGATATGGGAAGTTGTTGTCTTTTCTTCTTTTTTTTTTTCATTTTTTCTTCTTCTTTTAATTGTCTTTTCGTGGGGGTATTTTGTAGCATGTCGGACAGCGAGCATGAGTGATGGCGGATTAAATTGAATTTGCACATTTTTCGCAAAAGCAATGGTTGCGTTTCAACAGTTTCCACTTTGGCTTCGTAGCTCTGAGTAAATGATCCGTAGACACAAACACACTCTTATCCATGTGTGGCAGTTGTCTTAAATGTTTAAAGTGATTTGGAAACTAATTTGTATCCTTTTGTCTCTTTCAGGAGGTTAAACGTGTCATTGTGTACTTGGTGAGAGTCGTCTATTCGATATTTTAATAAAAATTAAGTTAAATTGTTGTATTTTCTGGCGTTGCCTACGTCGTGCAGTGAAACCCCGACACATGTGCAGGCGTTGGTGGCAGAGTGAAATGTTTGCGGTAGCCGTGGCAACATGCTGTGAACTCCCCAGGGGATCCGGTCCCGACACGCCACCGGGGGCTCCTACCAGCGGCAGCCACTGGCTCAGCGCAGCAGCAGCAACAACAACAACAACAACAACAACAGCAACAACCACCCTTCAGAGCGGGAGGGGCATGTGGTGCGAAGAGAGGACGGTTATTTTTTTGTTTTAGTGTAAACATGCGACGTGTGCGTCCTGCCGGACTCGTTTCAGTCCAGAGTGCCGGCTTGTTTAAATGTAGGAATATTTGCTGGGGTCTTAAGTTCACGGCCCCTTTTTGGGTCTCTGGTTTTATGAAGCCTCGTCACGGGGCGAAGTAGAGCTGCTGCCGTCAAAAGTGGAGCAACGTAATGACAGCACGGCGATCGGCTGACCGCAAGTCGACTATTTTTACAACTGTTCTGCTGTGTGTGTTTCTCTGTTCTATTTCTGCGTTCTGACAAACCTCCCAGGCTGGCAAAAAACGAACCCATAGAGCCCAAAGGTCCTCCACCCCCACCCCCACCCCCACCCCCCCCCCATACCGCTACTGCTCCACCTAGCGAGCGTTGCACCGCGCAAAACCTGCATGATGAATTCTGATCCTGACCAAAAAGCTAAAAGTACCAAAATTATCAAAAGTAAAAGTACTCTGCAGAATGTCTCCCTGAGAGAAGCTTTAAACGGTTTGTCCCACTTTAGAAACGTATTTCATTTAGTAAAAATGTTATGCAGTCAATCGCACACGAGGCCGGGCGACGGTCGCCAGTCACTCACAGGGAGCTGACGGAGAGACGCACAACCACTCGCTCTCACAGTCGTGCACCATCGATAAAAGGCTCACTGCGATGGATTTGCCAGGTTGGCTACTTGCCCCCCTCTGTTATGACAATATAACCCTTTATTTTGATATTCATTTGAGCTTAATGTTGTATTTGGCCAATAATAAAGGGCCGCATATTTTTCCATGAAGCTGGAACTTCAACTTCCACTACAACTTCTGTCTCGTGATTTTGTGACAAGCTGAAAGCACACTGAAGATGAAGAGGCTAATAATCTAAAAATATATTGTGTATATATTGTACGCAGGCCTCCTGTGCTTCAACTCTACCAGTAGATGGCAGCAAGAAACTGAATGTGTTCCGGGTTGTTTACAGAATTCACCTACAATGAGTATTAAAATGAAACCATCTTCTCTTGTTTCATGTGTTATTTACACAATAATATCAGGTACATGAGATTCAATGATGCCCGAGTACATGAAGTGGCACCTTTACACTCATGAAGGGATGGAGGCCCTCGTCTTCTGCTGAGATCTTCTGCAGGCGTTCATGTAACTCAGATTCAGGGTCGTAGAAGAGGCTCTGCAGCTACTCATGACTCATCTGCACACAGAACGTGTACCACGTAATATATGTTAGTATATAACATTATATTCTGCCAGCAGTGGCAGGCTTGTGCTGTTTCCAATGTCTCCTGTGACACTGCATCGTCTTCAGTTCTGTCTCTGAGGTCTCTTTCTATTTTTAAATGTCTGTCCGAGGACAGATTGCTGCACAAGTAAACCTCAGAAATAATGTCTTTCCATGTAGTTATATTCTACAGGGGGGGGGGGTCAACGAGAGGGGTCCACCCTCATCTCTTCAAGGCCAGTGCCGGTGCTGAGGCCTGACCGGTCTCTCCGTCATGAATAACAAGACGATGTGGACAAAGGCCTCCCGTCAGGGGAAAGAAACAAATCAGGGGCTACGTGGATACGTGCACTGTTTTAAACATTTTGGAGACAGCCCCGACTCATACGGTTGGAATGTGTTTTTCAGCGAAGTAGGAGACAGCTCGTGTCCAGTGGTGGACTTTTAAAATGCAAATACTTGTATTCACAAATGTCTTTATATTATATTTATGGATTACAATCTTTGACGTGGAATAACATGTGGGGTTTCTCCCGTGTCTCAGTACCGCGAATGTTTCCAGCTTTCTCTGTCTGCATGTGTTGCTGCGGCTTCGTCATCAATATTTTAACAAGAAAGTGAATCAAATTTCCCTTGAAGAGGTAGAACCTCATTTGCGGCTTCGTCTCAATGTGTCGTTTAAGTCCTTTGTGTTGATTACGTGTAACTGACAAATAATACAGTGCTTCGTATGTAAGTTCCACCTCAGCAAGTCTCCTCCACATCTTTAGTCCGGTTGTAGATATTCTTGGTTTTGGAAGAGTTCCTGCCTTTTTGTCTCTGATGATAGTTGGTTTCTTTGAGCTCAGGTCTCCGTCCACGTTGCAGCTGTTCTTGATTCCCAGCCTCCCGCCCGCTCGCCCAGACCGAGCTTCTCGTTACCATCCGCCGCTCTCTCCATCCTGGAAACCAAGTTCAGCCATAAACCTTCTAGCCTGGTTTTTAAATCAGTGTCCACTCCACAATTAACACAGCTTCATATCATATAAAGTTGGAATAAGTGGATGACAACGAGCTGAGAGTAATCTAATAAAAAACTGCATTGATCATCAAATGACCCTCACAAAAAACGTACACTTATTTACAAAAGACACAAACATTTCACATCCCTTTAAAGCTTCTCTATTAGTTTGGGGCATTGTGTCGTGCGAGCAAAACAAGGACTAGACTGGAGACAAAGTTCATTTGCAACTAGAGTATCCTGTCCTGCAGTTTGACGTGCACGGGCCTATTTCAGGCAGCTTAACAACAACATGAAAGAAGGTGCTTAATACAAAATGCGCTCAAATTATATCGTCTCTAAGAGCATTTTTGATTGGTTATTCAGATGGAGGCGGCTCCTGCTTAGAACCCTGGCGGAGCCCCATTGGAGCACAGGGACGTCCATCCCTCCAGGCTCTCGGATCATCACGCCTCCCGTTGTTCATGAGTTCTTCATATCAGGATGTTTTGCAAGATGATTTGCATATGAGTGCTTGGCGCGGTTCTAGGAATGAAATGTTATTCTTAAAATGGGCAACAGGTGAACTGCACTCGACTCAGATAGCGCTGCATCTTTTTGCAGCATGTTCGTGTGCTGGTGTTGTGAAATACATGTTGTTCGTGCAATCCGGCCTTAAAGCTTATATTTTATATAGGTTTATATTTTAATACTCAACAATTGCTTTGGTTTATTTATGAGACAAGGAATTAGCAAATAATTGTATATCAAGCGCTATTCAGCTCAAAGAGCCCCTTTGGTCTGTCATAGCTAGCTAACATCGGCTAGCTGCTAACGCTACTGCTACCTGAAGCTAGCACAGGCTAACATTAAATCAATTTATTTTTAATAAGATCATTTTTGCTTTTACTTTGCCAACTGCTAGTTTATAAGCTGACTTTACATATTTCCCAGTTTGGAGAAACAAAAGCGGCCGTAGAGTAACATTACCGAACATAGGTACTGTATATATTCCTAATATATATATATGTTTATAAATGATATTAAATTGAAAGACAACACCGATTGTTTATATCATTGACAGGACACACTTTCATAGTAACTGTAAGAATACGTGTTCAAGATTTGGGGCCTGGTCGGGGTTATCAAAAATTCAGCCGAATAACTTCTCTCGTTCTGGGAAATATATTTGTCAGATCACAGGTCAAGTGTCAGCGCTGCGTTTGCAAAGGCAGGAGCAGTTCAGGCAGCACACAGGCCGGAAGAACAACTAACTAACATCAGCAAGAACATCATGTTTTATAACCCTTGAAAGACGGAGAAGGAAAGATTTCTATTGGCCCTAAACTGGCGTAGAGGAGGAATCTAAAGATTCGGTCACATCCAATGTCCAGACTCCTGACTTAACGTAAACATCAGCGAACAGAGTGAATAGGGTTGGTGTGTCTCTAACCCCCCTTTGGCTGGTAAATCTGCTAGTTGACCCGCAGACCTTACATTCCTCAGCCAGGACATAAACTGACTCCCCATCCTGTCAGACTCGTGTCTGCCTGCTTGGCAGATCCTGCTTCCCCCCTTACCTAACTCTCAAATCAAGACAAGATAGCGAACTCCCAACTAAGCCCATAAACAGAAATTTTGATTATCATAACTATGTGATGTAAAAAAAAAAGAAAACATGCAGTAAAACCACTTTGCAATCTATTCTACTTTTGCAATAACCCGGACATTGCATATTGAAAAGGCAACCAGAGTTGTGGGAATTCGTGTCACTACAGATATCACTTCACTTAATTCCTGCATTTTATTTCACTTTATTGTATGAAATGTTATGATGTGAAGCACTTTGAGTCTGCCTTGTGTATGAAAAGCGCTATACAAATAAAATTGCCTTGCCTTGCCTTCATGCACAGGAAGGCATTATTGTGCAGTAGAGCGTGTATGATGTGTTAAGAGTGATGACAACATCACACATACGAGGAGACAGACCAACTATTGCAAAGGAAGCTTTATTGCCAGTGACAGAGGGGAAATATCCGGAATGGACGTTCTTTTTTCCACAATATATTTTACTCTGATCTTAGTTTAAACAGTCCAACACCGGTTTTAAACATATATTTAGCAAGTTACCATGGCCCTTCGGAGGTAAAGTCTGCACGCTCCTCCCTTGTAGATCAACGCCATGGCATAATTCCTATTAAACAGAACAACACACCCACAAAGCCGCAGGCATGGCTTTCACAAGGATACGCTCACGGATACGATGCCACTTCAAACTATTTTGGAAAAAGAATTGCACACAGAGCTCGCTGAAAATATCATATATCATAGTAACAAATAAATTGTTGGGGAAACGGTACAGATTTCTTTTTACAGTTGATTTGGTTGCTTTTTAGCTGTTTCACCATTTATGATATTTGATGTATGAAATTACCTCCTCAAAAGCCACCGATAACAACTGAGTGCGACATGTCTAAAAAAGAGTGTGGATGACTATATATATATATATAGCTTTTTGAATTATTTCGTCGGAAGATCTGATTTTAAAATAAACAGGTTATTGATGTGATATATATATATATATATATATATATATATATATTGGTATATTGCACGTTTCATGGGAGGAGTGTTGCATCTTTGAACGGGCCCATGCCCGCAGTAAACCTCTCGAAGCCTTGCACTGTTGTCATGGCAACACCATCACCACTATCCAACATCCGGTGTGTGTGTGTGAGGGCTGAGGGGGGAGGAGGGCGGGCAGACATTAACCTTTCATTATCCGCCGTAATGTTTGCCCCCACACACAAACAAACACAAAAAAACCCAAACCAAAGATATTGCTGAAAACAGCATCAGCTCACTGCAATGTGATCTACAGCAGAATCGTCCAGCAATGCTCCGGTGAAACCGCACACTCCATGTGACAGACTGCGGTAATAACAGTCACCTCACGGATATTTACATTGTGGCTCACTGTAGTGCAAAGACTGATTGAAAGTAAGTCGTTTGTTCTTTGGTTAAAAATGATATAAATATATTTCAGTAGCGTGTGCAGCCACCTGCACAACATCCCATTAAAATAAAATCTTGAATAAATCTAATTTGAACTATTTCTCACCTGCCCATTTATTAGTATCCTCACTCTATGTTTTCTATTTTCTGGTGACATTCTGACAATAAAGTTGTAAAATTGACTCTTAAGCAAGGCCACATACAGTATGACTGTATTGTATGTGTACGCACACTGTTTGATTATGAATACATGTATCCTGTGGAACTCATATAATTTGCATTTCTTATGACACATTCACAATGCATGAATCACAGGGAACACAGCTGGGGCGAAACAGTGGTGTTACATAAACATCGCACTTGATCAATAACTAACTTGCACCTTTCTTTGAATCGATCATGCAAAACAAAAATAAATATCTATTAGTATATGAAAATAATCACCACACGCTCACGTACCGTACACACACTGATATATACACACACGTCAAACTGCACGTTTGAACAATATCTAAAGGTACACAGCAAAAATAGAAAACAGAGGAATGGAGCGGGGGCAAATAATAGATTCATATAGCTGGGGTCCGACAGGTAGCACAGAGCAGCACTGAAGTTTAGGCACCATCTGCTTTTTACATCACCAACAACGGCCCCAAAGGAAAAACCACGGCTACCGAAACACAGCGACCCATACGAGCACACAAACGGGTCAACGAGCAGACGGTACATTTTGACACTGCATAGAGTTTAAAAACACAGTCCGGCGCTCAGCTGCACCGCGCTCACGCCACCCACGTCTGACCCTAGATACGTCGCCGTCCACTAACGCACACAAACGTCCCCGCTTGAGGTACGTCGCCGTTATCTAGACGCGGAGACTTCCTCGCTCTCTCCTGCACTGGACTCAGTTGGCCTGGACCGGCTTTGGACCCACTGCGACGCCGTTGCAGTCGAGGATGTACTGCAGACAACCCTGAGGCGGCTGCCCGGCGCCGCTTTTAACGGGTTCGCCGACGAGCTCTCCCTTCTGGCCGGCGCCCTGAAATCACAAAGAGACGACGCGTTCAGAGCGACGAGCTGCTGTGGGGTTCAGTTAGCGCTCACAGCATGAAGGTCCTGGGTTCAAAACCACCCAGCAGTCTCCACGGGTTCCTCCCACAAGACATGTTCAGTGGATTGGCTAGATTGCCCCTATAGGTGAGTGAATGGATGTGTGTCTCTATGTCAGCCCTGCAACTGACTGACAGGCGACCAGCGACCATTCTCTCGCCCAGTGTTAGCTGGGATTGACCCCAGCACCATCACGACCCTCTAAGGACATCAACAATGATTCTACACCAACACGAGCCTCATGTTTCAGATCCCCCTGTGCGTGACCGTACCGGCTGTATGGTGGTGGGTCTCTGGGGAGCGTTTGCTCCCTTCTCCGCCGACCGGTTCATTTCTGCCAGCACCATGTCGGCGATGAGCTGCCTGTCCTCGGCCTGGTGCTCCCCCACCAGGGGCATAGCGGAGCCCACCACCTGTGCCACACGGGGGTAGAGAGAGAGAGAAGGAGAAGGTAGACACCTTTGTCACACTCGCTGTTTTACATGCGGACGCATTTGACCTGAAGGAAAAGGTTTAATTGGGGAAAGCTTTCAAAGAGGATTATCGGAGACTCATACCTCTGTGATGAAATCTTTACCATCTTTCCCATGGATGGCTTTAACGGCGCAAATATCCAGACCCCCGAATATCTCTGAGCAGGTGTCGACCCACAGCTTGTACCTGAACCAAACGCAAGACTCAAAACCGGTCGCAACACAATGGGACACGGCGGTCTGATTGCCGCGGCAGATCACAGGAAACGGTTCGACACGCCAGGATTTGCTTGCTACTATTTCACATGTAACATAATCAGGTCAACCAAAGGAAAGATTTGTCGGGCGGGTTAAGTCTTTCAGGAATCCTAAAAACCTGGAAAATGTCCACTCAAGCTCATGTGACTGTGGTGTAGTGTGTCCTTAACCTCGAGGGAACCCAGGTGTCCTAAATCCCTCATCCCTGCACCACTCTCTAGAGACGGACTGTGTTTAAGTCCCACCTGCAGCGTTGGTGGGACAACACTCCATGGCTCTCCAGGGGCTTTGTGTGAAGGTGCCTCCTTGTCTCTTTTGTCCTCTAGCAGAGGACGCTCTGCCTACTTGGCAAAGAAGCAAGAACTACGTTTCTACAAGCTGCCGGACCAAAGGAGCTGAGCCTTAATGAAGACAGAAGGGAGGCATCTGAGGGAGGGAGGAAGGGGGGAACTGTCATCCTGGTGCTCTGCATTCCAAACCTACTGTCTGCAGCAAGCACGTTATGCAAATGTGAGTTCGAGTGCATTTCCTTAAGTTAAGCTACATCATTTGACAGTATGTTTTGCGGCGGCTGCTGTCTGCATCACAAAGCTATGGAGTACTTGAACTTACTACGTCTGCTTCGTAGCACATCGCCACTGGATTCGTCTTCACTCACCTATCAGTCATGGCCACCTGCTCCAGCATAGCCGAGCCGGTATTGGTCTTCCAATTGCCGGATATGGAGGTTCTCCTGCGGGACGTCGAGCACACACACATTACAACCTTTGTGTTTCTCGTTGACTTGTTAGGACGCGGCGGGAGAAGCGTGACTGTACGCACATGTAGGCTTTGTAGTCGGTGCCGATCTTCTGGATTCTGATGTCGTACTTGGAGTCGATGAGAGGCTCTGTGGTGGTGTACGTCTGGGTGAGAGCCACGACGCTGGCTATGTCCTGGAACTTACTGTGATTTTCCACCTTTACCTGCGCGCAGAAAAACCAGAAGCATCAGAATCAACGCATTGATTCATCCTTTCACACCACTGCAAGAAGAACATTCTCTTTACCTTTCCAATGCCGGAGTGGGCATGTCCGATCTTCACAACAACAGGGAATGACGGCATGGTCACCTGAAGTAAGAAAGTCCCGGCTTAATATCCTGCTTCTTACTTCTTCATCAGTGGAAAAAGGTGGGTTCTCACCATCTCCTTGTAGTTTGGGTAGAACGTCTGCTCGATCAGAGGGAACTTCTCCGCGCCCAGCTTTCTGTGCGTGTTGATGAGTTGGGCAAACTGGACACACACAAACAGGTAAAGGCATTGTTTGTCTTCATTGTAATAAATCAGGTCGCAGAGCACACGTGTAATGAATAGAGCCGCCGAGTTCCTACCGCCCACGGCTTGTCACACAGGTTGTAGATGGACTCCAGCGAGTTGATGCACGGGACGGCGCCGTACTGCAGGCCGATGATCAGGTTGCGGAAATCTTCGTTCTGGGTCATGCTGAAGGCGTGTTGACGAATGAGCACAAAGTCTGGCTTGAACGACCTGGGAAACAAAATCATATCGGATAAAAATGAAGAGACGAACTTTGATATCAGAGGATGGTGATGTGGATCAATCAGTCAGCCCCCACGGATGGAAACAAAACTAATTTGTTGCACGTGCGTCTCACCTGATAACCTTGGTACCATTTCTGAGAACTTGCATGTTGACGTTGCAGGTCCCGTTGGCATGAGCCACGACGTTGATCTCATTGAATTCAGCCTGCTCCACTTTGATGTCGTGATCCCCGTGAATTTTCTTCCCCCGGAACAACTTCACCCTGGTAAAAAAAGAGAAAAAAGGATTCAATAGTAATGACAACAAGAACCTGGGATGTGAATTAATGTTGAGTGGTGAATACACAGGAGGCCGCTCTTCATACCGCTGATACGCAGCCTCTCTGACGCGTCTTCCCTTCTAACTGGCATCGAGGATAGCGGTACGATATTCATGTTAACACTTTTTAAGGCTGCGTCATCTTCTGAGGCAAAGCCGTCGACGGCACACGCACGAATGCATTCACTGCCCCGGTAATAAAGGACGATGTAGTGAGGGAACATTTCTATTCAGAAAATGGCTTCACTCGTCGTGACTTGTGATTCAGCACTTTTTTTAAACAGAACGTCTTTCTTGGCTTTAGAGAAAAAAAAGACACACGCCGGACCTTTAATCCCATGATTTCTTTGTTTTGTATCCTCGTCCTGACATCATAGTCTGTGGCAGTAGAAACTACTGGGAGATTATCAGTAAATCAATATACTAATCGGACCCAAACAGGAAGTCTTCCCTTCAATTTCAGGTTTCTTTATGGTTTCCTTTCCACATCTTCAAGCTCATACTTGGGCGTCGCAGGACATTACGAAACCCTCATTATTCAAACAGGGCTTGCAAAATGTCCACGTTTCAGTGTGGTTGTGTTGCTGCATGTAGACGCCCTGCTGTGGTGTGTCCTCACTTCTTCTTCCTCTCGGTTTCGCATCACCCCGCTGTCACGTATCCTGCACCGCCTGCCAATTTAGCTGAATAATTCATCCGCTATTTAATTGGGGCGCAGGGAACCATTTGGCTGTGGAGTCAAAACATTCAAATGTGAACCACCGCTCCGATATCTGAGAGAATGAAAAGCCTAGTCTGGGGGGCCAACGCGCTTCCAAAGCACAAACACAAGGGCCTTGAAAAAAGCCTCTGGCATTGAATTAGAATCTTTGTCTGCGTGACGGAATGCCTGAATGTTACGTGGGATCACTCTGCAGAGCCCAACTCGGCACGTCGAGCACCCAAGCAACGCGTTCAAAGAGCACTTCACGAGTCCTGGTGCATCGATATGCATCAATATGCACGAGTGTTTGACAGGGACCAGCTGCTGTGGTTGAAATCTACCGTTACTGCTATTTACCAGCAATGTACTCGCCCGTACCGTTATATTCCACCAGCCTCGTACTGCAGCCTCTGTATGTGCCACCTGCTCACTGACATGGTCACTTTAAACATTCACTTGTAAGAATCAGGTCCTCTTGACTTGAATTAAATGAGATGACGAACCAAAGGAGACAAAGAAATGTGCGTGTGATTTCAATAGTAAGTATAGTTTCTCATACTTCCAAATCATCTTACTTACTTACTGTGAAATCCTTTCTCATTCAGATGAGTCACCCGGCAGCTCGGTTAGTGCGACTCTGTGCTGAATGTGGACATTTGTTTGATATTCACTCTCACACCTGAGTAATGTTTTAAAAAAAAGACAAAAAACAACCCTTTTCCCTACAGCCCAACCACCCTGTGTGTTGTCTTATTCCAAACACCGAATGAAAGGATTCTACGGCCCTTGTTTAAACTGAGCGGCCTTTCGGCGAGAAGAAGCGCCTGGTAGGTAAGACAGTGGAACATCTGCTCCTTCTGTCGCCGGAGCAGTTTATAGCTCAGCATCCCGGACATGAAGCAGACCTGCGGGGATGACTGGGAGAGCGACGGCCTGTCTCCATCTGTGGCATCACTGCGATTTCACATGGCTGAAACGCAACCGGTTACACAACAAAGTCCTTGTTGAAATTAAGAAATCAATATTCCCTGTCCTCTTCTATGACTTTGCACATGTTTGTGAGTAATAACTAAAGCATCTCAGACACAATTCCTCACGTGCAACAGCAGAATTTAAGTAATGGGAAACATTTTTTAAACACCTAAATTTCATTGTAATCTCCTTGATAAAATATTAAAGCACTGTCTCTCTACATATAAATATATTATCTGGGATTTGACACGTTGAAACTGAAAAATAGATGCTGACGGCAAGAGCCGTCTGCCAGAGGCAATTTTACCGGAGGACCCTCTTGTCCTTTCTTGCGTGCGTCTCGGGGGCCCTCGGTAGCCGAAGCTCTGGTTTCCATTTGCGGCGGACACAAAGGAGGCGTGCCAACATCTTACAGAGGACATTAGGTACTCAGCGAAGAGCTGCACGGAAATAAAGACACATTTCACCTCAGCTGCTTGCCAGCAGCTATATATTCGCTATGCTTTTCGTCCCGCGTCTATGAGAGCTGAATGCACTTTATCTGACTCTTCCTCCCGTGAATCATCCAGGTGATATTTGTTTATTATACTGTGGTTAATGGCACAATACCCTCTATGCACAGTGGTACTATACACACACACACATATAAGCTACACAAAAATGCGCATAAAGCAGACCTACAATACTCACTCTAAACAGTGACTTACAACCACTGGGTCAAAGGTCGTACGAAAGGAACCATAACGAGCCTCATGTTCATCTCTCCACTCCGGGATATTGGGCAGCCATGAAATATATATGCAGCACTCAGAGAGGAGAAGCAGTTTCATCCGATTCTCTTAAGTGGACTCCATGACGAGCGATGCCCGTCTGCGGAGCTCAAGGACACGATGAACTGTTTGATTACGTTGGATTGGACATCGCAATAAATTCTCTTCATAATTCAGTTCTGCCATTATAATGTCAGAGCCGCCCTGCAATCCTCTTTCCTTAACGAGCTGCTTTCTGTCCTCTCGCGAGAAACGCCGAGCAAGAGAATCTAAAGGACGGCATCCGTCCGGCAGATCAGGGGTTGATCTTATTAGTATTGATCTAATCTAATCTAATCTAACGGTTCTGTTGTATACATGGCTGGTCCCGCACACACAAACAGGACAAATTGGACACTGCAAGGCCCCCTGACTCAGCGAGGCTGATATAACCTATTTGTTTGTCGTTTAGGAACAATCACCTCAGGAGATTGAACATAATTCAGCCGTATATTTACCTTATTCAGTGTAAAATGAGAGCAGACGTTACGGCCAAGGCTGCGTTAACCTCTGACGTGACACGCATGTGCACAACGGGACGCCCCACGCAGATGGATTCCGTGTGCGACGGCCCGTTAGTTCATTTCCCTTCAGGTCGGACTACCAGATATTCAGATGTTGTCCAACGCTTAAAGAGGATGTAGATTTCATGCAGTCTGGAGGTCACTGCCTCTGGGCTGTATAGAAATCGGGGCTGTCAACATAAACGCGTTAATATATGCAATTAATGTGGCCGCGATTATTGCGACAAAATACTTTGTCGCACCTTTGTTTACTTCCGGAAGTAAACCGGAAGTTGACCGCGGAAACGAAACGGCCGCTGGCTGCAGTCAGTTACGTCGGAGAAAGCAAGACGGAAGCTCAAGATGGAGACAGCTGCTTGCATTGGAAGTAAAACAAACAGAGGCGCGACAGACAGCGGAGGACCACGTGTCAAACAGAAGGGCGGTGAGTGGCAAACGGACCACTTGAAGCACCGCTATGCTAAGCTAGCTGCTAGGCTAAGCCAGCTGGAAGAGCTGCTAGTTCAACATTTTCCACCCGGTAGAATTCTGCCTCCAAGATGATCAAACGTGTAGTTTTGCGTTTAAAATAACAGTAACGCATAAACAACAGTGTGTAAAATACACGTTTTCTAAGTGATTGCATTACTTATTATTAAGATTTAGTCTTTAGAAGAACAACATTCATTAAAAACAACATCGTAACAACAACAATATCCATTAATCGCCATTAATCGAGATGAATGAATTTTAAAATGCGCGATTTGTTTTAAATATATTGACATCCATAATATAAATAACTAATGAAAATACTGCCATAACTCAGTTGACGCATTGTGTAGTTTTCTTATCATTCCCTCTCTATCCTTCTTGTTAAATTATTTTTCCACTCAATATATTTCACACAGAGAACCAATCCACCCACAAATACGCAATACGTTTCTTTTCATTTGTATTGCACTTTTACAAAAGACAACCTAAGAAGAATGAAGATGTCCATAAATTCCACGCAATAGGAGGCAATGTAAGTCACATTGGGCAAACATCTGGGATGTCCAGCTGCACAGCTGCAGCACACACACGCTTTGGAAAATATGTCAGCTGTGCAAACAATAATCCTCTTTACCTTTCAGTAAGATATTCGTCTCAACATAAAGACTGTCCCCGTAACCTGTGTGCATACGCAGAGCATTTGAGTTCTGTACCACGGTTGAGTGATGGAGACGTTTGCTTCAAGCTATACGTCTACGTAACATCCCCCAGGACATTAATCGTCAATGCAACGGCTGAAAACGGCCCCCAGCGCCCTCAGCGCTAATGACACGATGGTCCAAGGCAACACAACCGTGGGGAAGGTGCTGCTACATCTGTCTGCTCCTACCAATCTGCTGCTCACCACTTGTATGATCAGCGAATGGCCTCCATGTGCACCGTGCGCAGCAGTTGGTTACCACCCACATGTCAGTGCAGGGCAGGTCATGTGACCCGCTGTCAGTGAGTGGGGGAAACCCCATCGATGGAGGGAAAGCACTGCAGTACGTGCAAAATGAGATACAGCTCCCGCTTCTGCACGTCACGGCGAACGTCCATTTTTAATGAAGTGAAGACAGCCTGAATTGTTTTAGTCAGTGCATACATTTTATTTTTCTCCTTTCTCTTTCTCCAACGTGTACGCCAAAACAATGCAACAGGAAAGCCCATCTTACTTCGCGGACAGAATAGAGGACGGCAAAAATCATCCATCTTTGTGCAAATGTCATTGCTGCCGAGGACCAATGTGCCGTATCTTCCTAAGCGGTGGCTGCCTCGTTGTGTCACCCTGGCATGCCGTGCCATCAAACCACAGCGGCGGTGCCTATTCTCCTCCGCAGGGCGCTCGGTGCGTGCTGTTCGAGTGCTGGCTCTTTAACCCTTTCCCTCACCGCTACATCAAGGGAATCACATGCAACCCAAGAGGGGGGGGCAAACAAAAAAAAAACGAAACACGGAGCCCCCCCCCCCAAAGAAATGATCGGAAGGTGAGCGAGCAGAGCAACGTGTTGTCTTACCACTCCTGCTGCGGTTCGTCAATCACCAGCAGAATCTTGAACCTCTTCGCTGTCGTGACTTGGGTCTGCTCCACCAGCCCCGCCGAGGCGGCTGTCTGCTTAACAACGTTGGTGATGGAGCTGAAGAAGCCCGCCCCGGTGGACTGCGACTGCGGGGGTTTCCTATCGGGAGCGGGGGAAGTGGCCGGGGGAGTGGGCCCGGTGGTGGGAGACCTGGCCGCGGTGGGGGACGCGGGTGCAGGGGGCTGTGCGCCGTCGGGCCTCTGCAGGTCGGTCATGTAGCCATTGGGCAGATTGGAGATGAACGTGCTGTCCGAGAGACGCCGACGCAAATAATTCATGGCTGCAGGCTGAGGGAGGGGGAGGGGGCTGGGGGAGAGAACAGTCGACAAGCGGCACCCGGTGTGGAGAAAGGATTTCGGCAGAGGAGTCCCTTTTTTCCCCGTGTGCAGCTGATAATGGCTGAGCTCTCAAATGCAAACTCCCTGCGAATGTTTTCCCACCCAGTTCAGCGGAGCATCCTCCGAGCCCCCCTCCCTCCCTCCCTCCTCTCGGTAGTGGTGACGCTACGCTCTCCCTCGACCAATCCCCTCGTCCGTTTGCTTTCCTCGAGCACGATGCCCGGCCACTGCCTCTCTCCTCCCTCGTCTGCTTCTCTCCTCTCTAAGGCGACTGCCTTCCCCACCCCTCCCCCATTCTGCATCAAAGGCCCGATGCTTCTTCAAACCACTGCGTTCAAAAGAGGAGTTTCCCCAGTCCGTGCAAAGGGGTACTGAGTACTACATCCCATTTGCCTTCCTCCTGCTCCCCACAGCGTGTTTTTTCCCCTTAGCCCTGTGTCCGTGCGCGGTGCTTTTCTGTGTGCGTGGAGCGCAGCCGTGAAATCTAAAATGGCTGTTTGGACCGGTGGGCAATGCTGAATGAGAGGAGGGCAGCAGCAGGGTCCTGAGGCGCTGAGGCGCGCAGTAAAGCCTCTCTCCTAATCTATTAATCAATTAATCAATCCCTTTAGAGACACTTTCACAAATGACAAAACACACTTTGTCCACTGCGGGCGGCAAAGTTCATCATTATCTGCTTTAATTATACTAAAAAATGTAAAATAATAAACCCGGGAGATCTGGACAAATGGCAAAAAATGGTATTTAATGATGGAAAACTCAACACAAGGCAACTGAAAACAATCTCCAAAAGGAAGACGAGTATGGCTCCTTTGTCACTGGCTCAAAAACTCCTCACGGCAGCAACTAGCACGTCTCTGGTGCCGCTCTGGCTTCCACTGAAGCAACACCAACACTCTGGCTTGGCACAGTCATTTAACCCCACCAGCTGCAGGAGTGACGTCCCCAGCACACCTGAAGGAAACACACACACACACACACACTGAGGCAGGCAAACACAAACAAGGCACGTAACGCTCTGACTGCAGTTTTCTATGAAGCAGAACGTATCAAAACGATTTATTTCACTTCACCCTTTTGTTTTGTTAGATTTCTTTTATTTCACCTTATTATTTTTTTAAATCAGCGTCACAAGAACCGATTCTTTTGTGAAAACATTCAGCTGTGAGGTGTTTGTTGGAGTTTGAGCCTAAAATCCAAAAGGCCGCATTAAAGTCACTGTTGATAAAATACGTCAATGTCACGACTACCAGAACAAACATGATTAAACTAGTTAATGTATGAATTGTTGATCACGGGTCATTCATACAGGTTCATAAGAAGGCGGTTTATGTGTTTATCATCTTGCACTGGAGTTTATTAAGTGTCACCAAGTAGTGACATCGTCCTGCACTAAGTGTCACAAGGTTTATAATTGTATTTCTATTTACCTGTAATTGCTATTGTATGTTGTACCATTGGCTAATATATATATACATATATATACATATATATATATATATATATATATATATATATATATATATATATATATATATATAACCTTGTAGATATGTAGTAAAACTGAATTGTTTTCTCTCATTTCTCTCAACTTGTTGTTGCAGATGAGGAACTAAAGAGTTGGTGGAAATTCCCAACTCCATTTTCTCAATTACGTCAAAAGAAGTGGATTGTGAAAGAGTCTTAACTGTTTCCTCTTTTGATGTGTTTAAAAGGTTTTGGGGATTTAAATGTACAGTATTTATTTTTCTATTGCAAAATAGTAGAATAGCAGAAGTTAGAGAAAACCTAACCTGATGTTCATCTGTGGTCTCTGCATTTCCACATTTCTCTGCATGTTTCACACCTTTCAAACTGTCTCTTGACACGAAGCGGAATCGTTTCTCACAAGCTGAGTGTCAGCGTGGACGTGAGGATGGGACACACCTTGTTTGGTGCGTTGGGGCTTTTCTGTGAGTACTTTCTCTGTTTAAATCATAGTTTTCATAGATACAACTTTTTAAATGCCAGAAGTTAATAGTTTCTGTCAGTTTGATGATGTTTCTCACTTTATTTTAGCGCTGAATATTCTCCTCTACTGTGGACACGCTCAAGGTTTCTATACAACTTTCTTTATTTTGATACATTCACTCATGACGACTCAACACCGTCTATCACTATTTTACATTTAATATTTCTGTTCTCTTTAGTTATTTTATGATGAATACAAGAAAGAAGACAATATTCATTCTTTGCATGTTGTGTTTGTTTCTAGATGCTTTGCTGCATATTGAGCCAAACTGGTCCCTTTTATTTATTGGAGAGAAAGTTACCTTCATATGTGACTCAAGAGAAGGAAACGACACTGACTGGAATTACTCATTCAGTAGGAATGATCATTTCTTTACCACCAACGGAACAGAAAATAGATATAAATCATCATCTCTAACTAGAGGAGATAGTGGTGAATATCAGTGTGTTGCTGATCACAAGATCCGTCCTGTTACAAGAGAAAGTAATAAAGTCTCTCTAACTGTATCAGGTAAGTGATCAAAGTTTTACCATCACGACGAGTTCATTAAAGCACTTTTATATTAATGAGACGTGTTGATTTAATAAACCTGTTTGATGAGGTGCTGATGTAATATAATGTAGTGATAATTAATGAATGTTAACTAGTGTGAGAGAAAGTTGACAGTGATGCTGTTTAATTAGCTGAGCTTTGTTTAAAAGGATCAATTATGAGATAATATTGATCATTTCAAATATAACAAGTTAAAGATGGAGAGTTAAGACAAACCATCCCATATTTTATTGCTATTGACAAATTATATATTAGTTATTGATTAATTATTGATAACACAAATGGATCAAACACATCAGCAGAGTGTGGCGCCTCCTTCAGGTGAAATGTTCTCATTACTCAGTGAACCTTTTATTATTTATTACAGGGAGACTGACTTTGACATCTTCTTCCGTCTGCAACTTTATGTTAAATTATAATTATGTAGGAAACATAAATCACTGATATCTTGTATCATTGTTCATTTAATGAAACTGATTTAGTAAAGCAAAGAAGTAACTGTTCCACAGACAGAGATGTGATCCTTTAACTCCTGCGTCCTCCTTGTATGAAGGAGAATCAGTGACTCTTCACTGTCGACATGGAGACCAGAGAAAGGAGAAGAATGCTGACTTCTACAAAGACAAAACACTTATTGAGATGGACACAAACCATCAACACACACATGAAATCACCATTTCTCTGATGTCTGATGGGAGCTCTTACAAGTGCAGATTTAAGGACAAAGAATCTGAAATAGAATATTTGAAATGTGAGATTAGTTACTGTGTTTAAAGACATTGTACCCAAACACCTGTTTAACACATGAAGACCGATAAAAAGATGGAGGACATCAGCAGTGACAGTAATCCACCAAGGACTCATCATAACACGTCTTTATTCTGTCAAACCTCTTTCCAACAGATGTCCCTCGGCTTGTCCTCACAGTGTCTCCATCATGGACGAGTCCTGGAGACTCAGTGACTCTGACCTGCAGTGTTGGACCTCCATCTCCAGGATGGAGGTTCTTCTGGTATAAGGCTGTTCCAGAACAGCCATTCATTTCCTATTACTACACTGATGAGCTTCTAGCTGGTGGCACCACTGGGACTGAACAGGATTCCTACATTCTTCATGGACAGACACACACAGCAGGATATGTGTGCAGAGCTGGAAGAGGAGATCCTGTGTTTTACACTCAGTATAGTGATGTGAAGTTTGTCTGGTCTGGAGGTGAGTTTGTTCAGACTTTTATATTCTTGCACAAGGGAATAAATGTCCTTTTTGTGTTGACATTGTTTGTCCTGTGTGTGTCTCCTAATGATGTGTCTTCAGGCGTGAATCCAGCAGCGTCTCTCACAGTGAGTCCTCACAGACTGCAGCACTTCAGCACAGAGTCACTGTCACTGATCTGTGAGGGAAACTCTACTGAGTGGAGAGTGATGAGGGCTGATGAAAAAGGCAGCGTGTTTCCCTGTTATATCAGGGGAGAAATGACTGGATCCACATGCAACACCGACGCTACAGCGAGTAGTGGAGTGTACTGGTGTGAGTCTGGAACACAGATCAGCAATGCAGCCAACATCACTATACACAGTGAGTTTCTATTCATTTAAAGGTTTTTACATCTAAAGTATTTACATCTTATTACAGAGGGCTGACATTTTTAAAGTGACTTTATTATGAGTCCTTAACCCAAGTAAAGGAGTTCAAGTACCTCTGGGTCTTGTTCACGAGTGAGGGGAAGATGGAGTGTGAGTTTGGCCGGAGAATCGGAGCAGCGGGGGCAGTATTGCACTCGCTTTACCGCACCGTTGTGACGAAAAGAGAGCTGAGCCGGAAGGCAAAGCTCTCGATCTACTGGTCAATCTTCGTTCCTACCCTCACCTATGGTCATGAAGGATGGGTCATGACCGAAAGAACTAGGTCACGGGTACAAGTGGCCGAAATGGGTTTCCTCAGGAGAGTGGCTGGCGTCTCCCTTAGAAATCGGGTGAGAAGCTCAGCCATTCACGAGGAGCTCGGAGTAGAGCCGCTGCTCCTTTGCGTCGAAAGGAGCCAGTTGAGGTGGTTTGGGCATCTGGTGAGGATGCCCCCTGGGCGCCTTCCTAGGGAGGCGTTCCAGGCACGGCCAGCTGGGAAGAGGCCCCGGGGAAGACCCAGGACTAGGTGGAGAGATTATATCTCTGCACTGGCCTGGGAACGCCTTGGGCTCCCCCAGTCAGAGCTGGTAGGTGTGGCCCGGAAAAGGGAAGTTTGGGGTCCCCTGCTGGAGCTGTTGCCCCCGCGACCCGACCCCAGATAAGCGGTTGAAGATGGATGGATGGACGATGGATTTATGATGAGTTTAATTCAATATTTATTTTAACAAACAATTCAACAATCTTAGTTTGTTGCAGTATCATTTCTCTGTATTATCCAACACGTCTTTGTGGTTTACTTTCCCCTTTATGACCATTGACATCCACCATTGACTTTAAACCAGGAGGAGCTGTAGAGTTATCTGCTCACTTTGTACCTTTTAGACCATTCTGTAGCTCACTGCCACTAAGTGGACATTTGTCTCCCGACATATTGAGCATTAATTAAAGATGTAACTGTGAGCATGTACGTCACCAAAGGGCCGTCTCTTCCATCCATGAAATGCAGCTATTCGCTCAGCTACTGTGTGAATGTGAATAACAAATGTAAACTCTAAATGTCTTCTCCTCATTGTTCATCAGCTTGTTTGACTTCCTGTCCTCTGGTCTCTTTACAGGTGGTGATGTCATCCTGGTGAGTCCTGTCCGTCCTGTGACTGAGGGACATTCCGTCACTCTTGGCTGCAAGTTGAGGACAGAAAAGCTTCTTTATAATGTGGATTTCTATAAAAATGACAAACTCATCCCAAATCCTGCCAGAGGGGAGCTGCTTATTTCTGCAGTTACTAAGTCAGATGAAGGCTTTTATAAATGTAGAGGAAGGAAATCACCTCAAGGTTTGGAGACTTTGACCTCAGCAGAGAGCTGGTTGTCAGTGAAATGTGAGTACGAGTTTTGTAACATGTGTTACAGTCTGAGTGAGAAAAGGTGTCACTGAATTAGAAGTTATCTTAAGATAAACTATTTGTTTGTGTGAGACAATATAGTTTTAAAGATGTTCATGTTCAGTAAAAACACATAATATTAGAGATGTAACATGACCAGCAGTGAAAGGTGAATGTTGTGTGATCAAGGCTTCATGTTTGTGTATTTGAGTGTGTGTGTGTTGTAGTACTTGTTTAGTACTAGTTTAGTACTACAACACATTAGTACCTGTGTTTTTACTAGTTTTACTTTGTTTTAAGTATGTTTTTCTGGCTCTGTGACACTCTGAGATCTGTTGATGAAGAGTGTGTTATAAATAAACTGTGTTATTATTGTTACTTGTGTATCTCTTCATGGTTGGTGTGTACTTGTGTGTAGATCCTGAAGAAGCAGCATCAAGCTCTGTGTTTCTCGTGCCGTTGGTTGTTGGTCTGGTTTCTGGAGTTTTACTGATTATTCTCCTGCTGCTGTTTCTGCGTCGCTACAGAAAGTCAGAAGGTGAGATCTTTTCCTTCTGATATCAGACTGATTTCACTGAAATAAGTCAAAGTCACAGATATTATTACACACACTAATTAATGATCAATGTGAAACCCTTTTCTTGCAGCTTCAAGCCTCAGCAGGTTGGTACAAGCCTCTCTTCTCTCACTCTGAACACGGCAGCAGGACTTTACATGTTCCTCATTAAATCCTCTGTATTTACTTCATGTTTTGGACCCACAAGGTCTCAGAGGACCAATCAGAGCCCAGCTACAGACCACATGATCAACCAGGGTGAAACTCAAGATGGACATTACTCTTCTCTTCTTCATGGTCAGCTTTAATCCTGATTTATTTAATAATGTCTTCTTAACTTTAATGCTAACATTTCCATTTCTGGTTATCTGTTTGAGAAGATTCTATAATTGATACAAAGTGGTTCAAATGATTGATACGACTTCGTCTTTATCCTCACTGCTCTGCAGGTGATTCTTGTCTCTATGAAGCAATCGGAGGCTCTGAGGAACCTGAACATGGTGCAGTAAATCCTGTGTGTTCATCACACAGCTGTTAAAATACTAGAATCAGATGATCAAGTGACTGGTTGACCGTCCTTTAAATTAAAGACAAAGTGTATCGATGATGTCACAGATTCTGTGTTTGAGCTTAAAGACATTGATGGTTCATGTGAATACTTCTATAAGGGAACAAGCTGCAGTAGTTGAGATGCTTTTGTAGGCCAGCAGAGCTTTAATAAAGGAGAATAAAGTGTCTCTTCATGCATTCATCTGATCCTTCTAACAGGGACGAATGATGAACCAGAGGAGAGAGTTTATGAAAATGTGAGGATGGAAACAGCTGCAGGTACTTCAAGTACAACACACCATGTAGTACAATCTGAGTGTACTTGTGTATTACTACCAGCAGTCAGCAAAGGTCAAACACAACACTTACACCTGTTACTCTTAAATAACCTTTAATCTCTTTTATCAGATGGATAAAAACATCTGCATGGACAGAACCAGGGGAACGGATGACGACATGAAAAACCACATCTTTGTCTTTCTGAGTAATTATTGTGTCAACTTCTTTCCTGATATGAGACAGTATTTTGTAGTTAACCCACAAAACGATCATTTAACGGAAATACATCATATGTCTTTAAAATAGTAGATTAATACTTTTACTTATTCAAATGTTGGTTTTCAGTGTTTACTGTACATTTCATTTTTATCTCCTCAGTCACTTTGTTTTTTAAAGCTTTTTTGAAGGCTGGTTCGGAGGCTTGTTTGAAAAACGGAAAAAAGTAGTTTTTACGTCTTTGAGCTTCAGAACGTTGGTGATTTTACTCAATATGAAGTAATGGTTTCATGTAAACGATTAAAGTAAATGTTTATCTTTGTCTTTTTAAGAGTTTTAACAGGTGCTGTTTGTATTTTATCTTAACCTGTTTGTGTTTAACCTTTTTATGCATCAATAAACTTCTAAACAGTGTTTCCTACAGTCATTTCTTTAATTAAATAAATATTAGAGATTACAGGGAACGTATGTCCACATGCTCCTCCTGCATCACATTAGTAAGATTCATCCCAACAAAATTCATATATTGTATATATATGAATATAAAATCTACTTTATATATATCTATGGGTGCATGACATGCTGCTCTCCATGAGTCAGGTGCAGAGCGCGGGTGACCATTCCCCTTAAGGATGGCGCATGCATCTGCGTCTTTACGCACCGTTGCGTCGACGCACTCGTTTCAATTCATGGCTCTAAAAGTCTTGCGTGTGTTGCAGAGCAATTCACCGCCAGAACAACAGGCGGAGTAACGTGTTTTTGTCGAAGACGACCTAGAGAGTCACGTCTTTGTGTGGAAGTCGTTGGTTTGTTTATTTATGTATCATAGACTTTATTGCCTCGTGCATCGACACTGCAGCTTTTCATCGCGGACACATTTGTCTCGTATTTTCCTCCACAACTTTGTTCCCCTCGACCGGCAAACCGACGTTTGCGGAGATCTCCCTCCATGAATCAGAGGCCATGTGCGTGTCCTCATAGTCCGCCAATGACGGGAGGCTCGCGACGCAAGTCTAGAAAAATGGGTCGACAGGAGGTGTGAAAAGACGCGCAAGGGGCTCGTGTGCAGGTCCTTGTGTCTCTCTGGAAACGCAGAAGCATAAACTAGGCCTTATACGTAGTGGAGTCATCAGTGACATGTGACTCCATGACATGAGGCGCAACAGCGCCCCCTCCTGGACAAATACTGTTCATACACCCACTCTCAACAGCGGACCACTGTATGTTCCCCAAGCAACGCGGGTCCGGCCCGGAGCTCCTGAAGACGTCTCTGTCCCCCCCCCCCCCGCTGGTTATGAGGTGAGGAGTGAGCGGGTGCGAGTGTCGGTAGTGGCGTCGCCTCAGCCGGGCGCTGCGCGGCCCCCTCGCTGGAGGGTCTCGAAGTAACTTTTCAGAGGTTCAGAGCGAACTCTGTTTTATTTACTTCAGAACAAAAAATCTGATTATAAAGAGTTACAGAGAAAACAGGATAACAGTCTCAATTCTGAACAAAAATGGATAAAAGTGTCAAGAACCTGGAAAAACGGTCAGACTCGTTCCTCAGGCAGGTCTT